TTGTTGTCACCATTTTGTGGGACTGCGGCTACGAGGAGATGGGCTTCTGGAACGGTAATTTCTCTGGAAAATAATAAGAGAAATAGTATTAAAGAATTATTGTCTTCTTTAATTTAATAATCAATAAGATTGTAAAACATTATTTTCATATTTTTCTGGAAGAAAAAGATTTCGAATCAATGAAAGTGACACTCCAAACCTATTTGAAAATAGACAAAAATAATTTTAAAAAAAGAAACCTTATTTTTATTTATAATCTATCAAATTAATACATAGACAACTCAGCAAAGTTTAACATACGTACATGCAAAAAAATAGTGTTTTTCTCCTGATATCTCTTACTGTATATACTCCTTTGGAAATATTTATTGTTTTAAAAAACAATTTTTTAGAAATTTAATAAAACCCTATGGTATTTAAAAGGTGTGTATATTTATGTGTATTTTATGTGGGTGCATAATTTAATAAAACCCTATGGTATTTAAAAGGTGTGTATATTTGTGTGTATTTTATGTGGGTGCATGTTCATATGTAAACAATTAAGAACAAGAAGCATACAAAAACTTGGGTTTTTACTACAAACCATTTATTCTTTTATGGCGACTATAGTGAAACAAAATTTTTAATGTCTCTTGGGTATGTTCATTTTCCTTTCAGTCAAGGAGCTAGAGTAAGTAAATATAAACATTGTATTAATGGTAGACCTCAAGTCAGCTGTGTACATAATTGAAACAACAGAAGGAACATTTGTACTTACTTTACCACTGGAAGGTTTAAACATGGTTATGGGATTTCTGTTTTCTTTTTCTTGGTCTAGAAGTTAGGTAAATATAAGCATCATTACAATGATTGTGCTCAAGTCAGCCTTGCACTGAGTTGGAACAACCAAAGAGAAAGCTTGACACACTAAAGTCGACTTCAACTCTATACTTCTAATGTCTCTGCCTGAACTGTGAATTAAAACTTGACCTCTTCAAGTCTAGAATTAGCTGTTAACTTTCCTGCATAGCCCCCAAAACTTCAATTCTTACCCTTTCTGACGCTAATACAAATCCAAAGAGTAAACCTTGACCTTGAGTAGCTCTTCGGCCTTGTATTAGGTGAACATTAGTTTAAAAAAAAAAAAAAAAAAAATGAGAGAGAAAGAAAGAAAGGCTTCATAGATGGAGGTTTTTGTAAGGTATGTATGAGGATCATGCATTGGAAAGTGGGAAGTGAGTTCAGTTGTCTGTAGACCAGGGAAACTAACATTCCCCCAGCGGGAACGTAATAACCACGTCTTGGAGCAAAGAGGAGAAAGAGAGTGAAGCAGGAAAATGTTTGTCTTTTTATAGACTTCAACAGCACCACCTAACAGCATTTTACAAAGCCGAGTGTGGTAATTAATTATGAGAAAATCTATTTCTTTTTTTTCTTTTTTTTTTTTCCCTATCATTCACTATTATTTTATTAATCAATTTTATTTCATTTTCCTACAACCCAAACACATAAAATTGGATTTCAGCATTCTTTTTTCTCTCAAGAATTGACAACAAAAGAATTAAACATTATCGGATTGTTTATTTAGAAGAATAATTTTATTACAAGTTTATAAAACCATGTGAACCAACTACAATGTAATATTTATTATTTATAAAAATATCTGTGAAGAAGAGAATAGATGAATTTAAATAAACACATTGGGATAACAGTCTAGGGAACACCTGGAAATTTACAACTTTTTGAAAATCTACAACAAAATTGTCCTCATCTTTATTGTCATACTCACGATGTTCTCAAGGACATCTGTCTGGCCCAATGGATAAAGGCATTGCTTGAAGTAATCCAGTGACTTGAACCAAAGAATTGTGAGTTCAATATCTGGCCACATCAAAAGGGAACAAAAAACTTGGAGAGTTGAGTTACTAAAGGGAAATTGAGATATCTGGAAGAGGCATGGCATGTGGAACTAGAACAATCCACCCCAGTAGACAAAATAAATTGTTCCGTTTGAAATTCCAATGTATATCACATGAAGAAGGTTGAGCATACAATGACTGAAACAATGTGAATATAATAATAAAGATGAAGACAACAGTCCAAACAATGTAAATAGTGTAACTGTAATTATGAATTTTGGAAAAAAAAATCTAGACCAAGCAAGCAGTTTGGATTTTTTCAAAAAATAAAACACTGAATATTGAAAACAGGGTTTGAGCTCTCTTTTCTCGATGTGGCATTTTTTTCCATCTGTCGTTATCTTGGGAACATGCAGTGGGCATTTCCCAGTTTTTGGTACACACAGATATGAAGAAGGAAATTACTGGAAAGTAATTGAAACTCACCTGAAGCGAGCTGAATGTGTAATGCTCCTCATGCCAATGACACTTCCACCGAGCTTCACTACGGTATATGACTTCAATGAATTTGATGTGTTCCTCTCGAATTTTAAACTGGGGTTATCAGGAGAGAATGTGCACCGTTTCGGAGCCTTCCTCTCAACGGTTTCAGTTGCTCACCAGCCCCCCTCACTGATGTGAGGCCCCATTATAACGATATACAAGTGTTGTAGATAAACTAGTTCAAATGTGTAACAGCGAAATTAAATTTACGAAAATTCCGAAAAACGGCAAACCTCACGTTCTGAGAATGCAACGTGAACCTCATTACGCATTCACGATCAGTCATGTCATGCCATCATATTCGCCGAAACACTCCACGGAGTATTTCGTTTTTTCCATATCCACATAGAACTATTTTCTGTTACTTCTATTAGGCATTTTATACTCTTGGCCCTATTACGCCCTTTGATTCCAATTTGTCCCAGAAATTGGTACAGAGTGCCTGAAACGAAACCCCTTGCTCCAATTTCCACTGCTCTAACAATTGCATTATACCCCTCCTTTATTAGCTCTGACTTTAGATTTTCATATTTATTAGTTTTATAATCGTGGCTTTGAACAAGAATGGAGATCCAACATGGGAATGCCCTTGCCCAGAAGGTGGAAAGCTGGGTGAATGTCCCTAGTGTATGTTTGTAACATGACAATATCATACAACAACAAATTTATATTTTAGCATTTTGCTACCACTTTCTTTCAACATCAATTTTTGTAGAAATTAAACACTAAAGTGGTTCACAGAGCCTTGATATTTCTCTGATTCCTGATTGGTCAATTAATGGCAATATAATGCTTTCATCTACGTCCACACGGTTAAAATTAATTTACCACCAAAAATCTATGTGTTTCAAGCCTATCATATGAAATACAACATTATAAATACTTGGAAACATTTTCAGCTCTTCTTCTTTTGCCTTCTCTCACACACAAGATGTAGCGTTAGATTATGCCTGTCCTGTATGGAAAGACGCTATGACAAATGCACACACACGCGCGCATGCACATACGAACATTGCACATCTCTTAACTCATTCACTCCTTCAACTACAAGGACAGAAACTATTCAATTTCTAACAGTAAACTTTGCAGCACACAAACAATTGACCAAACAAATTCACGTCGTTTAAACCTTTGAATTTTCTAAGATTTCCTAATCCCAAACTTTGAATTCACTCACTCACCAACAAACTACACTTTAAATTTAACATCTACGATTTTTATCAAGACAACAAGAATTCTACTCAAAGAACATACAGTTTGCCAAACAAACATTTTATTCAAAAAGCAACTTTGAACATTTCTTTCAATGAGACTGAACTTTATTTCATGAACTGAAAACTTTTTTGTGAGTTCAGATAAAAATATTTTCTCTTAAAAGGCTTTAAGAATTTCAAGTTAAAGGGAAATAACTCCTGCTATATTATTAATTTATAAATGTTACATATTAGCATGCATTCTTTAGCAATTTGTAACTCCGTTTAAATTACCTGAGTAAATTCATTCTTCATTTTTGTATATTGTTGATATAAAAATGTCTTGCTATTTCTAGAAAACATATTGTTGTTTTATATTTTGGTTTTTGGTTGTGCCATGAAAATAATATAAATGTTTGTGTAGATCTTAATTTTGTTTTTGCAACCCATCACAAATAATACCTTCCGATATATAAATATTTTTCCTAATAACCTACTCCTCTGCCACAACATTATTATTATATTAATTTGTGACTTGTCTTTTATCTTATTTCTGATACTTTTTATAGCTCTTCCCTGCATCATTTTATAATTATTCTACAATCATTAAGCGTTAGAAATTATCAGAAATTTCATTGTTGAGTTAAAACCTTTTTCTTTTTTAATCATTTCAACCCAAACAAGGCAATAAAGCCACTAAAACAAAAAGGGTTACTGCATGTGAAAGAATAAGAAAAAAGAAAAACAATATTTAGAATAAAAGAGGAATCAAGAAGACTGTAGATAATGATTGATATTACATTTTAATTTTTGAAGATCAAAGTTGGCTGGAAAGAAAGAAGCTGGAAGATAGTTCCACAGGCAAGAAGTGCAAGAAAAGAAAATGTTAGTAAAGAACTTACAGTTACATCTAGCCATTTCAAGTATAAAATGGTGAGAGACCTTGTTAGTACTGCACTTAAATTCATAGTGTAGGCACTGTAGAGCAGTGTTCATTAGAACAATTTCCATGAAAGTATTTATAGAAAAGGCACAGGGAAGCTATATCATGGAGATGGGAAAGTGACTTTAGCCGAGATGCCAGGTCAGGACCAATAATATTGCAGATTCTTCTTTGGATTTTACGAAGAATCTCTAAATATTTAGCAGGAGCACCAGACCATATGTGGTAGTAATACATATGTATAAACATATGTGTGTGTGTCTGTGTGTGATAAATGTTTATTTTTATACTTAACCCTATTACTATTATTATTACTGCTACTCCACTACTACTAAGTATCAAAGTCTCCAAGCCTGAGAATGCATATATTGTCCTCTTCAGTGATCGTTACAGTACCTGTGAAAATTTCATGGTTTTCCTATTTGATTTTTCTGATGAGGTATAGTTTTTTTAAGTTAATGATTGAATAAGTTTCTTGCAAGTTGCACAACTATAAAATACCTGTGGAAATTACCCTATCACATCGTTAAATATTTAAGCTTAACGGCTTTAAGAAAATATTGTAATAACAATCATAAATATGAATACAGGTTATTATTTAAAGAAGTAAGAGGGTACAAATGAAAAAATTGAACTTGACAAGTTTTTTAATTTCACTGAAGCAGACATTAAGCACATGGAAATGTTATCACCTCCTCCATCTGTAAATGGATAGCAGAACATGAACAATGAGGGATATTAAGGAGTTAGACATTGCTTAGTGCTACAAGTTGGGGAGAGCCATGATCACCGACATCCTGAATAGGCATGGCAAATAAAAGAAGAAGAAAACAACTTGATTCAGCATTCACAAATAAAACAGATTTTCACTTAACTTCTGGATGTCCTTCAACTGGTGGAGATCCCTGGGTGGCAACCTCAAAAGACCAATATCTTAATCTGGCCCACAGTGTTATGTGGTGATGTGGATCCTACCGTCAATCTATGTACATATTTGTTAAAAGCAAGCTTCTTACCTGATCAACAGTGCTACGTGTCTCAACTTCTCCTTGGGAAACGACTTTGCGGCTGCTGGCAAGAGACGAGCCTAGGTAGAGACAAGGCCAAATAAAGTGGCTCACAATGTGGCTGCTGTAGTCAGAATTGACACTGCGACGATACCTGCAATGAGATTACTTGAGAATAATTTATTGCTGTCTTTAGCATTCATTTTTATCTAGCCTTTAATGTCAGCTGAAATATTGCTTTTCATCAGAATTTTCCAAGACTAGAAATTTTTTGCAACATCCTAACACGTTGAAATCAACGTTATTTTGTATTGTTGAAATTATCGGTAACATTTTTTGTTGAGATTTATAAAATATATGTTTCATTCAATTTCACAAACCAATTGATAAAATTTGAATAAGCTGATTTGTTTGGAAAAATGCTTTGACAAAATCTTACTTTGTAGCTTAATAATTTCTTTAATTTAATTTTATAGGACTTCATGGTAAAACTATTTTTAAGAAAATTTCTTTTTTTCCTTTTTAACAGCAAAGAATAAATGCTTAGGGTTTCTTACTCTTAAGCATGCAACATACAACTGGCTATGCATAAAAATTACAACCATTTGAAGCATTTGGCCTTGTGATTTGTTTATACTTCTCACAAATGCAGGGCAAACTGGATTCTTGTATATAAAAATATTCTTGTAAATAAAAAAAGATATGCAAAAAAACAATTTGAATTTTCGCTAAATAAGTATTTGCTATTTTAATCATTGTTTTTAAAATAGTGGGAGTATTTTGCCAACCATTCCAATAAATAATATAATAAATAGTGTAAGTAAACAATCTACTAAATAAATAGTGTTTTTTATTTTTTGTTGTCAATTCTCAAGAACAAAGAAAATGTATAAATTCACTTTCATTCATTTAGATTTTTTAAAATTCTAATCATTGATCTTTAAAACAATGAATATTGTCAAGGGGTGACGGTAGTTAAAATGACAACAGAGTCAATGGAAAACACTGTTTTATTGCAGGCAAGAAGATCAAGATTGCCGAAATCTCTTCAAGGAGTGATAAGGTTAAATATTTTTGATTTTTTTTTCATCATTAGGTATAGGTTTATCAGTTTACTTACATACTACATACAATTAATAGAAATGAAAAGAAAATACTTACTTGACTGGATCAAAGACAGTGTCAATACCAAGGTCAATGTCCAGAGGTACAACAAGTGAAGCCATGTCCCAACCAAGTTTGCAACTTTCACGGATAAAGGGGCAGATAACTGCAATACTACAACCTGGTGGCAAGAGGTGGCTGATTGAAGAATCCACATCCCGAATAACATCCTTGGATGAATAGCAAAAGACAAGCAATGAGTCAGCAAAGGAAATTAGCAACTTTTTAACTTTACTTAGAATTTTGAAGAAGAAAGAAAAAATGGCTTCTTAGGTTTACAATAACATGAGAATCTTAAAGAAAATGGGTCATGCTGGTAGATGTAAATTTACACTTATTAATAAACAGGGATATCCACTTAAATAAATGTATCCACTAAACATAACATAATTAATGGACAAAACTGAATATAACTTCAATCAGGTCAGTGATAAATTACATTTATTTGTATTAAGCCTATATATACTGAATGTAACAGCATAATTGTCCATCCCACAAAATGTTTAATATCTAAAAAAAAAAAACCCACTAAACTAATTGAGTTTCTTTATTTTTTTTCCAGATAAGATGTTTAACCATCTGGACACCATTTGTCATAAGAATCACTGAAAAACCCTTTGAGTTATTCAGTTAGAAAGAGAACAGGTTAAAATTGTTTTGTGTCAGCCCCACCGTCTTCCCAAATGAGCAATGGTGAGAGGAAAAAATCATTCAGGCCTTCAGTAATGGTACTAACATTCATACTCTGGCTTCCATCTTCAAAGTTCAAAGAATCATCAAGAGATGGTGAATAAGTTTAAAAAAAGAGGGAACAGTAGAGAGGAAAACTGGATCAGGAGGTCACAACAGGAAGAGGGATCATCATTTCAACTTAGAGATAAAGAGATCAATTAGAAAAGATCCAACACAATCCATAAGACGTTTGGCATATGAGTAAAAAGTTTCAGCTATGACAGTCCAAAGAGCAGTGAAAAAAGATTTGAAAATGAAATCATATATGAAACTTTTGAAGCACCTTGTTACTCCAGGGCAGAAAATTAGAAGGTTAGAAAAAGTGAAGATCATCTTGAATAAGTTGGAAAATGATCCTAGAGTATTTGAACTTTATTTCAATCCTTCAAAAGTTTCTATCCTTAGCTATGATTAATTAATGATGAACATGTCATTTTCATTTATGATCGATTTCATCACAATTCTTCTATTAACCTTGGAGAGTAATTAGACATTCTTATTGCTCAAAGTAGAGTCCGATAGTGTAATAAAAACCTCAAAGAATTCCATTAAGATATCTTTAACCATTTCTAAGATACAATGATTCAAAGCTTAATCTAACAAATAGACAATTTCGCTTTTACACAATTTGAACAATTTTGCTGTTACACCGAGTATATGCAAATTATTTTCAGATAGTGTATCTGTAAAGGAACAAAATGAATATAAAGACAAGAGCTGATATGTTTTGTCCCCTGTGGAACTTTATCAAAGCAAATGTAAGATTTCTGGGAATACTTACAGGATATTAATTTTTTTTGTTCAAGGTCATTCTTATCCCAACTAAATACTAGTTAGAAAGTAATAACAGTAAACAGAAAAATTGGTGAAATAAAGATTTAGTCAGTTGTACTTACTGATACCATGCCACTCAAGTCATAGGGTCCAGTGTTTCGATAAATAAAGTCTTGGGCCAATTGGTCTCGGCTTTGAGGACCATCGTACTTGTCATCCAACAAATCCCTCAGTTTATTCTTGTACTGATGAAGGCCAAAACGTCCAGCAGCACAAGCTTTCTATAAAAATAGAAAAGAAATGTCAAATAATAACTTCAAATTTATAGTAATATATAAATGACTGCCTAATTAGCGTAGCTAAAGCATTGAGACTATATAAGTGCCTAAGCAGTCAGGGGAGGGTCAGAATATGATACGTGAGATTAACGATGACCAACTAACACTGAACTAAGAAAATACAAAGGAAATCATATTCTTTTTTATTTTAAATATGTTCTGGCTGTTGTTGCTTCAGTACTCCCATCAAGTCCAATGTCAGGCTCTGAAGTCAAAACCCTCCCTCCTTTAGAGAATATTTCTATTTATCCATTTGGATTCAACCTACAGCAGTATTGTACTTTCAGTAGACAACAGTTAACAGACTTGTAGTGAGTCCTGATAAAATTATATATATATATATATATATATATATATATATATAAACAAAAAATAAAAAGAATTCAAATTAAAATAAGGCATTTACAGGTTCCTTTAAAACATCAATTTTTTTTCCTCTCTCTGAACTTCTCTTTCTATACAAGAAGGCAACCCTCAATGAAAAAGAGGAGGAAAAAGAAGAAAAGACTTAACCCTGGATGAAAAACACCAGAAGTTTGCAGGATCAGAGCCAACTTATTTGTGACTGAAAAATCCCCAAAATCAGGGAGGCTCCACACATAACTTCCATTATAAAAAAAAAAAAAAATGAAAAAGAAAGGAAAGTTGGAAAATAATTTTGGCCAATCAAAAAAATTGACACAAAGAGATTTTTGCTGTTAGCTGAAACCAAAGTTCCCAGCAGAATCTGAGCCTGGTGAAATGGATATAAGTTGACACTTCTCAGCTAGAGGATAGGACGGTAAGAGAGGATGGAACAAAAGAACACTACTGCTAGAAACCAGTCATGAAGTAGTTAAGAGGTCATCTGCTAATGATATTTCTGCCCTGCTTATAGCCGAGAAAGACACAGTAGATTGACACTGACCTATTTCTAAGATTACTACTATCCCTACCATGGTCTGACTTCAAACTACCACTAACAGACATTTCTTCAGACTTCTACCAATATCTGCCTTATTAACAAACTTTTTGCTACACCAAAAACCAAAAGACTCACTCCAAAGACAATAAATAAAAATATATTATTTATAACCTTGAGTCAGTTCACTTTATTCCAAAGTTTTTAGTAAAGAATATTCTACAAACACCACCTAACCACACTGGTGACCTCTCAACGTGAACCGACTTATGACAGTCTAAATTTAATCTACAATACTCATTTTCTATAAATAAGTAAGTGGTTATCTAAGTTGTGAAAATGACATTGGGATTTTGAACTGTAAGTATATGATCATTTCTTAAGACTTCCATGTATTTGTGTAGATGCAAAAGTTGTGGTCCCCAATAGATTAAAAAAAAAAAGTTCTTTAGAAAGTATTATGTTAACTAAAAATCTCATCTGCCATATCTTAATATCTCCTTTATAATTCTAACAAATTTTTCAGCATGGTAGCAGTGAATATAAAGTCATCATTTGAGGCTAAGTTATATTCACCAAACCATACATTCCAAACATTATATATGCAAATTTCAGTGATTTAAGTAATAGATTGACTCAAGTTATTTCTAGTGATTTAAAAAGTGAAATACTGTTTTTAAAAAATTTTTAAGACGATCTCACTTGTGTTGTGTTAGAATCTTTGTAAAACCTTTTTTTTCAGTGGAGATGTTTCTTGAATTAATCTTTACGGAAATGTAAAAATTTGTGGCTTAAACATTTTTTCAAGTAAAATTTAGTCATGAAAATAGTGGTGGTTATTACAAAAAGAATAACATTTTCTCAGACTTTTTTTTAAGTAAAAGAAAAACTATTATAAAAGTAGATAATTAATGAATATGTACTGAAATTTTTATTTAAATTGGATAATTCCCTGATTTTTAGCAATTTTTAAAAAATCACTGCCTCCTCACCTCCAATTTACCTTTGGGGGTTTGTGGCCCCCAGATTGGGAAATTATCAAATGAACATGTAGCAGAGAGAGAGAGAGGCACATCAAGATTTTGGGAAGGGGACAAGCCCTTAGCGTCGGTACTGATCATCAGTTGGTAACTTTCTCTCTACATCTGTGTATTTTATTTCCATATTATTATTTGAACATTTTTTAAAGTAGACATATTTTATACATTTGTATCTCTCAATGTCGAAATATTTCAACCCGTGTCCACTGTCCACATACACTGTTGCAGCAGCAAAATGTAACCTTCTTTTAACTTCCTTTTCCCGTGCGAACTCACCGCAACATTGGAATGTATTCTCGTGACAAAGTTTATACATATTCATGTAATTGTAATGTAAACAAAGTATTTGCTACCGTCTTTATTAGACAAATGGATCTTAAATTTAGTTTTATGTTTAAGCCTCCGACTGCTTTTGTCATATTTCTCGTTACCCTTGTTTGTAATTCCAGACTAACTAGTCTTATTTATATTTTTTTTTTCTTTTGGTTATTAATAAACCTGCCGACAAACTTGACTTTGTCTTCAGAGTTCTAATTGCCTTAAGGCATTTATCTGGCTGTCGAGATTACGCACGTGTATGACACGAACAGAACATCTCTCCTTTCGCTAAGAGCATGCAACAATCTATTCTATATTAGGAATTGATTCCAAAAAGAAAATAAATAACAAAAGTTATATATGCTTACTCTGAAAACAGTGAATACAATTTTTTCATTCCTTATTTGGTCATCTGAATAAAGTCTCAGAGTATTCATGGCATCAATCCTTTCGGTATAATACATGTCTTTGAAACGTTGAATGATTTGATCCTGTCGAAGTTCCTGGATGCTATCCAAAGATGACAATGATGCACCCCTCTTCAGTCTATAAAAGATTTGATGCTATCTATCATGATTGACAAAAAAACATTTAGTTGGCAAATAAATATAATGAAAAAACTAGCAGGGAAACAAATTAGCAATAATCAAGCAGGGAGAGCTGAGTTCATTCTTCTCCCAAAAGAAGTAGCTTAAAAGTATTATATGACGTCACACATTATGAAATGGACAAAGTCCGACAATTATTTTAAGACATTTTATGTTTATACATTCTTTAGATACAAATATTTAAGTAAATGCTCTGTTTATAATAAACAGTATTAAACATTTACCGGCCTGAATGTCCGAGAAATTTTTCATAGAAAATATTCGTCCTCCGACAGGATTTCAACCTGTATCCTATACAGAACCGTCATATAGCCTGACGTGCCTTCTTTTTTTCTTTTTTTTTCATAATATGTGACGTCATTTGTTTACATTTGATACGCCATGAGCAGAGAGATTCATGGATGATTTAAGTTTAAAAGCAGTAAATTCGACCTTGCTAACCGAACGATCCTCTATGGCTGAATCAGTTAAAAAGGCACGTCAGGCTATATGACGGTTCCGTATAGGATACAGGTTCGAATCCCGTCAGAGGACAAATATTTTCTATGAAAAATTTCTGACATTCTGGTCAGTAAATGTTGTTTAATACTGTTTATTATAAACAGAGCATTTTAGTATGTATAAAAAGAATGTATAAACATAAAATGTCTTAAAATATATATATATATATATATATATATATATATATACATACATACATACATATATATAACTTACAAAGTACAACAGAGCTCCCCAGACATACAAAACATTCGGATAATTTCTACATAATTTATAGTTATAACAATATTATTAATGATGATGATGATAATTGTAAGGACTTCAGGTCCCACTATGGAGTGCTGGGATCTAGACAGATCCAACAGGCAGTTTATATAACATACCTTGTTGAGTTTACTAAGTGCCGTATTGTCATTGTGTTGCTTTGACTTTTCAGCAGCTAGTCTCATATAATATATTGTCCACCCTAAGCCCAAAGAAATATTTATGCCCAGAAAAGAATAAAATTTAGAACAGAAGAAAAATTAATTAAAAAAACTTAACTGCAGTAACTTGTCAGTCATTTTTAACGAAACTTGTGTGTAATGGGCCCTTTGACAATAATCAAGACAAGCGAATGTCTATTCCACAGCAAATATATGCAAACAATGCCAGTAATGGCTGCTGTGACGTGAACAATTCAAAAATTTTATTGTTGATAACTCCAAAATGCTACATTTTATAAGAATTTCTTTATTTTTGAATTAGGCATGTAAATTTAGAATAAGAAATAACTGTCCTGGAAATTTTTATTAGATAATTAGCGTGGGGCTTAAAAAGCAAATTACTCAAAATTTCTTATGGAATCATTGGCATAAATTAGTATAATTTTTCGAGTTTCTTTCCAAGCCATCTCTTATCACCTACACTCCCCCAATTCACTTACAGCACAGGATGGCCAGCTGGGATCCCATATATATATATATATATATATATATATATATATATATACACGACTCCTGTCCGAGTACAACCTTTTCTACCATTACTACATATCGTTTTGGAGAATATCTACTGATGTGCTGAACAAATGTGGCTCTTTAGCCCAGCAAGGGACCTACACTCTCTGGAACAAACAGGTGCAACAGCAGGTGTTACATTATCATGCAATTTAAAATGTCACATGAAACCACTTCTGGACCCACATGTCTTGCAGCAAACATTGATGGACATCTACAGCTTTATCGTCAATTGCCACCCTCTGTTGATGCAATCTCACGTAACCCCTTATACCAGCCATCGACAGACACACTCTACCACAATCTGTACACATCAAATTGGCCTTGTACAACATTCAAGGTATGCTTAAAAAATTATCTGGGCACCTTGATTTGGTGGAATGGTTAGCAAGTTTGTCTTGCTATATCAATTACGGCTGAATAGTGAGTTTGATCTTCACTGGGTGCTCCATACTTTCGGCCTTGTGCCACAACTAAGCTGCATTTAGAAAATCAACAAATACACTGTTACTTAAAACATACACACACACACACATTACTATTATTTTTTTCTTTGTTTTTTTTTTTTTTCTTTTAAGCATTTCATCCCAAGGAAGGCGGGAGTGCCACAAGCATGCAAGGGTTTACAGAGAGTGAAAGTAAGAGTAAAGAGGGGTGTTTGACGAAAGTATAAAAACAAGGACAGGGATCACAATCAAGGCATCAGAAGATGTCGATTGACATTACATTTAAAGATTTGAAGATTATAGTTATTAGGGAAGCAAGTAAAAGGAAGGGAGTTCCACAGTCGAGTGGTGCAAAAGATGCAGCCGTTGGAATAGAAGATGCAGTTTTTTTTTTTTTACTTACCTTTTAACTGGTTTTACTTCCACAGGATTATATTCCAGACTCTTCAAATCATTGGAACTTCGGCTTTTGATTCTAAAACCAAAAGAAAAATTGGCACTACTTATATTAACTGGTCGACTCATGAAAAATTAGTGAAAAAAATTTAGGCAAATAGTTTTTGTAAATTAGCATTTATTTGACCCCACCCCCTCTGAGCATATTTGTTAGCTGAAAAAAATATTGAATTATTATCATTTTAGAAGCGACCTGCTGTTTATAAAATAAATACAGTCTCAAATTGATGCCATTGTTTACCTGACTTGACATCTTGTGATTTTTTTCTATGGGGCTATGTGAAAGGACAGGTCTATATGGTCTTCTTCCTACAAGCCTAGATGAACGTATGCAGAGAATCACTGAGGTGTTGGAGAATGTTATGTAAGACATGCTACAGCATGTTTGGCAGGAGCTGGACAATCAACTTGACATATGTCGTGTTATAGGGGTGCATAGGGTTATAGGGGTATATTTGTGAAGCTTTGCGAAATCAGTTATAAAACCTACATCCCTTTAAATATCTTGTTTGAATTTTTGATAAATAAATCTTTTATTCAACGTGATGCTTATTTAATGTTGTTTGCCTGGGACATGTAGTTACTCCCATTTTAAATGATACTGATTTTTTGGAGACACCCTGTGTGTGTGTGTGTGTATATATATATATATATATATATACTACAAAATAGACAAAGTCTGACAATTATTTTTAAGATATTTTCTGTTTATATATTATTTTTATACATACAAATATTTAAGTAAATGCTCTGTTTATAATAAACAGTATTAACAACATTTACTGGCCTGAATGTCTGAGAAATTTTCATAGAAAATATGTGTCAAACCTGGACTGTCATAATACAATGCAAGAGTCATACCACTGGACCAACGGGCCTCAGTGACAAAGAAGAAACTGACTAGACTTGATATTAATGGTTTAGGTTAGATTCTCAGTACTGGATGTACACTGCTGATGAGTCCCAAATAAGACAAAACAGCCATCCAGTGTTTTCAGCATTCTGTTGAGGATTCATCTAGACATGATGAATTACCATAATGAGATTATATATATATATATATATATATTGCAATTGAATTAAGTTGACACCCCATGAAAAATTATTACCTGTAGAACAACATTTCCGCCTAGAAAAACACAATTTCAAAACCCATGCCAAATTCACTATAATTGAGAGAACAGAAAAGTTCACAGCAGATAACATCAGAAAGATTTTAGAGTTCCATGAAAATAAGTGGATACAACATTTGAAAACACACTATCCAGCCAGGCTTAACTATAAAGTTAACAATATAGTTAGTATTAATATATAACTCTACAAATCAAAACCTGCCCACATTTCTCACCCACACAAGACAGACATGCTTACGGCAGTGTTGAGGGCTCACACTTATACACACACCTACACGAATGTACACACTTACACACATCATACTCACTCACACCCTAATGAGCCAAATGATAACTCACACCCACAGCAATATACACGCTTACACATATCATACTCACTCACTCCCTAAGAACCAAATAACACACACACACACACACACACAGAGTTAACAGAGACACATCCCCTCTCCAGGACCAATAAAACTGTCAAACTGACCAGGAGAAATTCAGAGCAGCATAGATCCATCCAGCACTTATCTCAAATAACAACTTAAAAGAGACTGTTTGACCAACACAAGGAATGTTAAAAGATTCATGTTAAGAAGATAAAAATATAAAAAAACAAATGAAAACTAAAGACAAAAGTTAATTTTCTCCATCAAGACATTCATTTCTATAGTTCACTGCTACCAGCAAGCAGAAATATTTCTTCTGATAATGGTCATGTTGGCCGAAACTAGTCGAGGAATCTAAATGAAATAATAATAATAAAAATGAAAGAATATTAATCTACAACCCAGTGTGTCTGAAGATTTTAATTCTTTAATATTTTTTGTTGTTCAAAATATATACACTGTGGATGATCAAATGATTAAAACAATTTTTATACACAAGAATTTCCTCACAATATTTAATATTGTTGAAGTTATCACTAACATTTTTTATCCAGATCTACACATTCTACTCTCCCTACAGTGTTTATATTTACAGTGCTACTACTGTGCGTTTTATTTTACCAGATTGATATATAAAAACTTAAAGAATAGATATGCAAAAAAACAATATTGTATTTTTATTAAACAAGTATTTTTTTTTATTTTAGTTATTGTCTTTAAAATAGTTGGAATATTTTGTATGTTAAATAAAAAAAACTTAATTTTCCCCCCAAAATTATGAAAATTTATCGTACTAAGCTACACACCCTAGTAAAAACACCTGTACTTTGTACACCCTTACCTGTTTGCACTTGTCCACTAAAGTTTGGTTTTGATCAGTCAATGTAAGGCGATTTTAGAGGGTGTGATAGATGGAGTAACAGAAGTCAGAGAATTTTATATATAGACAGATTTTTGCCAGAGTAAACTGCTTTCTCTTTTAATTAAAGTCACATTTTTTAAATCAAAATTATGGTCAAAATCATTACAGTGAGCAACTGACTTATTCTCTCTCTCTCTCTCTCTCTATATATATATATATATATATATATATATATATATATATATATATATATAAGAAAGAACAGTAAGATATATAATCCGTGTTCTTATAGATATTTTATTTTTACAAAATAGTGCTCAATGTAAATTTACAGAGCATTAATATTATAAATTAATTGATTTAAAATATGTTTTTTTTTCGCTACACAGTTCTAATCATGTTTCAAAAATGGAAGCTAAAAGCCCCGAATTTAATTTTGTAATTAAATTAAAGACATTAGTTCCATTTCATCCTCAAGCAAATTTTGGAGTAACTTTTTTTTTTTTGAAACATGGTTAGAACTGTGTAGTGAAAAAAACATATTTTAAATCAATTAATTTATAATATATATATATATATATATATATATATATATATATATATATATATATATATATATATATTAATACTCTGCATTTAGGTAGCAAATGTTGTTTAAGGCAAATATTATTGATTGCTGTTTTCAAATTATGAATTATCTTTCTCAGACAAGCAGGAAATTCCATCAGAAATTCTCTGAAGTTCATTACAAGAAATATTGTTCAAGCTTTCCACTTTAAGTTATCATAAGGTTTGTAGAGACAATTTGTGAGTATGTATGTGTGGAATATGATATCCAATAACTTACTGTTCCCTTAGCAAAGCATTTTCTTCATGAATAGTCCTGAGTTCATCTTCCATAATCTGCAGGGAGAGTTTTGTTTCCTCCAACTGGTTGATCTGATCCCTGTTTGCATAGCCTGCTGTCAGAGAGCGGCCATCATAAATATACTCTTGACCCAACCAAGGAAGGAAACGAGATTTTATAGCAGACGCCCCACCATAAAGACCACCTTAAAAAAAAGAAAGAAATTAAAAAGTGGCAACCAACAACAAAAAAGGAAAGAACAATTAAAGGTCATCATCATAATCCTTAATCTATAACAATAAACCAGTATTTAATAATTGAGGACCAAAAGTGAGAAAGTGTTCAACAATTATTATTTAACAATAATCAATGATGTTCTGTGTTTGATGAGATGTGAAGAGTGTCACCTATCATGAAGTGCTGAGACAAATTGAAACAGGTAATATTGAAAAGTGTAGTCATATGAGTGGAGGCATGGTGGAGTAATGGATAGCGGCTCAGATTGACGAATTGGAGAGCCAAGTTCAAATTCCAGCTTACGTTCACTAATACCCTTGGGAAAAGTATGGATCCTCTTTATGGTAAATTATCCATACACGGATGGACTCATCCAAGTTACAAATAAAAGCAGCTATTGCTTTTGTCAGAGAGTTTTTTTTCCAACTGTCCAGACTTAATATTCAGACCTGACAGTTCAGATTTAACATTCTTGCTTGTTTGTATATTATTGTATTACTGATTTTTGTTAATATATTTGTTAACTCAAGTCCATTCGTGTCTTTATTCTGGCTCCAACAAGGCAACAACACTCTTCCCCCAACCCCCGCTATGGGTAAATAGCAAGACAGACCGGGTTCTATAGTCTTGGATAAAAGAAATGGCAACCTACTGCGGGAAAAAAAATCTGCCTCGTCAGTCATGTACTGAAAGATACATGATCGCCTAAGCGTGTATCACACATGGCACATAACTGACTGAGTCATCTATGGACACATTGCACAAGAATTTATGCAAAGGGCCTAGCATTAATTAATCTTAAAGACATGTTACTCTTACATGATAATCTAAGACCACATATTGCCTGATACACACAGGAAAAGATTTAAGATTAAATATGGAAGTTTTACTTCATCCTAATTATTCTCATCTTGCTCCATCTATCATCTTTTCAGATCATTGCAATATCTTCAGAAGGAAAACATTTATTGTCATATCTTGCTCTATCTATCATCTTTTCAGATAATTATAATATTTTTAGGGGAAAAAACAGTTTAATTTTCAAGAGTCTAAGATCATGATACAAAATATGGAAGTTTTGCTATATCATCCTTACTCTCCTTATCTTGCTCTATCTGACTATCATCTTTTTAGATCATAGTAAGATATTTAAGGGGAAAATAGTTTATTAATTCTGAAGAGATTATGACACAAAATATGGAAGTTTTGCCTCATCTTCTTTACTCTCCTCATCCTGCTCCATCCATCCTCTCCATTGTAATAGCTTTAGAGGGAAAATATTTCATTATGAAGAGTTTAAATTTGACATTAAATGTTTCTTTACATTGAAACCTGAAGAATTTTACACCCAATGGATCAACAATTTGCAAAGAGGATTATGTTATCAAGAACAAGGAGAAATATTATCTCCATTAAATAGACTCACCAGTTACTTTATTAGGTATAGTCTTCTAGCACCAAGTTTGACAGCCTTTTATCTTTAGAGCTGTCTCAATCCTTCTTGACATGGATTTGATGATGTTCTGGAAGTATTTTTTTAGAATTTGGGTCCATGCTATTAGCATATCATCCTGAATTTCTTATAGATTGGTTGGCTACACAGCTAAGATTTGAATTTCCCTTTTCACTACAGTGGGCTATGATAGGTTTTTAGCTACCCTTAATTACATTTTGGCTTGTGTAATAATGTATCTTCTTTTTTTTTTTTCAGACAATAAATACCATGTTAGTATCAAGCTACTCTCATCTCTGAATGATAATTGACTTATATTTTGCAATGAAACTTTGTGGAAGTAAGGAAATTGGTGAATTTCAACAAGGGCAAATAATAGGATGGCATCAGTGTGGCAAGTCATATAGTGAAACTGCCAGGTTAATCATCAAACGGTTAATAATATTGTCAAGAAATTTAATGAAGAAGGCCATTGTCATGTAGAACAACGTTCAGTCAGGAAGACCAAGCATCGTGTCTGAGTGAATGAAGAGGGTGCTGAAGAGGGAAGTCAACAGAAACCATACTCAGAGCATCAAAGATGGTGCCAACAACATGGAAATGTCACCATATGCAGTGAGAAAGACTCTGAAAGAGCTAGGCTATCAAATAAGAGTTGCAAGAAAGAAGCCCTTGATTTCAGAGGTTAACAGGAACAGGTGTATGGACTGGATAAGAAAATTCGAGAGCAAATATTATGAATTTTGACAGTCTGAAATTTGATCAGCTGAAAGTAAATTCTGCCAATATTTGAATCTGAGATAGGTTTATGTTTGGAGAAATCAGAATGAGACTTGGAACACTGAATGTCTGCAGGTGACCATGAAACATGGGGGGATTGGAGTAATAGTGTGGGGTGCTGTCTGGTTTCAAGCGAAATCTGAGCTCATTCTTGTTGACGAGCAGTTGAATGGTCCAAAATACTGTCAAATGTTAGAGAAAGCAATACTCCCACTTTTTGAAACCAATCAGACTGACAAGAATGTCTACCTTTTTCAAGAAAATGGAGTGCCATGTCATACGAGCAAAGCAGCAAAGACCTGGAAGGAATCACAAGGAATCAAGCCACTGCAGTGGTTATACTAAAGTCCCAATATGAATCCAATAGAGCATGTTTGGGCGCACCTTCATTGAAGACTTCAAGAGTGTGCAAACCAAAATCACATCAGTGGAAACCCTTAAAGAAACATTGCTAAAGGAGTGGCAAAATATGGATCAGGCGATTGTTGATAACTTAATCAAATCCATGAAAAATCAAATACAAGCACTGAAACTAGCAAATGGAGGATCTACTTCATACTAGTTCCAAATAGTGTTTATTTATGTTGAGTAGGGATTATGTAATTAAATTTTGATATTAGATGTAGTTTATTTCTCCTGGCTAAAAACTTTTCTTAGGCCACTGTACATCTCAAAAGTGCTTTATGATATTGAGATCTGGTAACTGAAAAGGTCACTTTAACAAAGAAAAACTCAATGCTGTGTTCCATAAAACAATCTGCTGGTATTTTTAATTTGTGACATGGCAAAGTGTCCTGCTAGAAGTGGTCTCTAATGGAAAGATGAACATTAGTCATAAATTGAAACACATAATCAGCCATCATACATAGGTAGACCGTGGTATGGTAGAGTAATGGATTGCAGCTTGTATACAGAAATCGGGGGGGGGTTGGTCTTTGAATTCCAGTGGAGTTCATTATATTCACTTATGTATTAATACCCTTGGGAAAGGTATGAATCAAACTCTTCTCCTCCCCCCAAGAATGGGTAAATAGTAGGACAGACTGGGTTCTATAGCCTTGGGTGGCAACCAGGCTAGGAGAAGGAAAACTCTGAATTCAAAACTGTATGGAGCCTTGGCAAAGCACATACTATGCAGCTAAGGAAAAGATTGTTCACACTGACTAGGGTAACAAAAAAAAAAGTGTGGCATTTAAACAATCTTTTGTACATACCAAGGGTCCAAACATATGTCAAGAAAATATTTCCCCATACCATTACACCACCGACACCAGCCTGAACAAGGCAGGACTGATCCATGAAAGGTAGCATTGATCCAATCTTTTATCTTGTTTATACCAAATTCTGGCCCTATCATCTGAATGTTGCTACAGGAATGGAGACTCATCAGGCCAGACTACATTTTTCTAATCTTCTATTATTATCCAAATTTCTTAATTAACAGGAGTGGTACCTGGCATAGACTTCTGATGCTGAAGCCCATCTGCTTCAAGGTTCAATATGCTGTGCATTTAGTGATGCTCTTCTGTATAACTCTGTTTTAAAGAGCCTTTTTTATCAGCTTGAACTAGTCTGGTAATTGTCATTTCAACCTCTTCCATCAACAAGGGCTTTCCAACCACAGAATTGCCACCCACAGGAATTTTTTCTTTTCCTAACCATTCTCTATAAACCCTATAAGTGGTATATGAAAATCCCAGTAAATTAACAGTTTTTTTTTATTTACGCTATTTACATTGTTCGGACTGTTGGACCCATCTTTGTTAACATATTCATGACATTTCGGCCGTTGTATGCTCTGGCCTTCTTCAGGTGATTGGAATTTTGAACTAAAACCTTTATTTCATCCACCGGAGTAGATTGTTCCACTTCCAGGTGCCATGCCTCTTCCAGATATTTCAGTTATCTCCCTTTAATTCCTCTTTTTTTCACCAATGCAGTAGCCAGGTATTGAATTCACAACTCTTATGGCAGCAAAGATGAGGTCAACAGTCTGAACACTGTAAATAGCATAAATAATTACAATACCTCATCTCAGAAATATAGACTGATATAGTAGTTTTTTAAGTACTAAGATCTGCCTATCTGGCAAATGACCAAGCAGCATTCAAAGTCACTTAAATTCTCTTTGTTTGCTAGACTAATGCATGAAATGGAATTCAGCAGGTCACCACGAGCATGATTAAATGCCTATATCAATTAAATTTCTGTCGCATCATTGGCTGATTAGAAAAGTGCAAAACATAGCATTTGCTTATGTGCAGTTAATTGACCACTGAGTGTATATCAATTAAAACCAAAGAAGAATTTATTTGGCATCTTTCTTTCCTACCTAATATATCATTTTGCATTCCCCACCTGAGAAAAGTGGAAGCAGATAACTATGTTCCAGTAGGTATTGATATTGGGAGAAAATCCATCAGAACATCCATTGCAACCTCATTGAAGTTTTTAAAGTATTTTTTAAGCACAGCCAGATTTTTGTGATGCAACATTTTCATGAAACATAAAATGGTAATGAGTGACCAATTTAATTCTGAGACTGAAGATCATTACTGCATGATGCAAGACAAAAAAAAGACAAAAAAAAACCAGAAAAAAAGACCAAACTACCCCCCACCCCCCCAAAAAAGACCAAAAAAAAACCCCCAGAAAAACTTTACTCACCTTCAGCAGCTGATTTATTCAGCAACTTAAAAAGTTCACGTTGGATACGAGTGTTAAGTTCAATGATGTCACAACAGCGAGCAACATTTTGGTCACATGAGTTGAGCTGTCAGAGATAAAGAAAACTTAAATGCACATATGCGAAATGTAAAAAAATAATTTCATCATACTTATTATAAAACCCAGGTGTTGTGTGTGTGTGTGTTTGTGTGTGTGTGTTTTCCTTTATATATGGGATCGGATTTCCTACATTTTTCAACAGATTTCAACAAAATTTCACTTTTTGGGGGGCAGGTAGTGTTTCTTATTGTCTTGCACACTTTTTTCTTTATTTTTACATTCAGAATGCTTTAAAAATTCCATTTACAAGACAATTGTTTATAATAAAATTCTATTCAATCGGTAGACTCATAACGATTGAAAACAATGTTTTTGTTTGAGTTTGGATTTGACCAATTCATAAAAAAAAAAAAAAAAAAAAAAAAAAATTAAGACATGCGTGTCCGTCAACCTTAAACAATAATCTTTGTCAATTTTATTTTTCAGTCTTTATGATGGTGGATACTTGATCTATCTCTTACCGTTACATTCCCAGGCAACACCGGGCTCTACTGCTAGTATTTATTAAAATCAAATTTTAAATTAGCAGGTGAGAAAAATTTATTGAAAATGAAGATTTTGAGTTATATAAATTTAATATTCTGTCATGAAAACAGTTTTCCCTGGCTTTCTATGACCTGATGCCATCTTTCAGCTAAATTAGGCCGATGCAAAAGTGTCTGGAATTTTCTTTGACAAAAATCTTTCACTTACATCAATTCATAGCATCATTATTCAGCCATCAAATCATTTTCTCTGGCTTCAACAAAAACTTTCAATCTATATATAAAATTCTGTGATTTCCGTTAGTCTGTCTGTCCATCAGACCCTCTGAAATAGCCATACATCGACTGATCAAAACCAAACAGATAAGTGGGTAAAAAGTATAGTTGGTTTTACTAGGGTGCATAGCTTAGTACAATAAATTTTCATTAATTTTTTGGAAAAATTAAAAGTTTTATTATTTAACATGCAAAATACTTTACTATTTTAAAAACAATTTAATGATTAAAGTAACAAACACTTAAGAATCCAGTTTCCAGTTTTCCCTGCATTTGCAAGAACTATAATGAATCATAAGGCCTAATGATTCAAAAAGTTTAAATTTGGTTCCAGAAAGAAATATTTATGCATGGCCAGTTGTATGCTGCATGCTCAAGAGTAAGAAATTCTAAGAATTTATTCTTTGCTGTTAAAAAGGAAAAAAAAAGAAATTTTCTTAAAAAATATTTTTTAACATGAAGTCCTATAAAATTAAATTAAAGAAATTATTAAACTGTGAAGTAGGGTTAGTGTATTGCAAAAAAATTCTAGTTATAAAAATCAAGAATAAAGCTGATAAACAAAAAGGGAAATAACTTATGAATCAACCTAATACAATTATAAGCTATAGAAAATAAAAAATGGACATCAACAGATTGTTCCTATATTTACAATGTAGCACTCATCAAATCAAGCCAAAAAAACATAAAAGTTATAAAAGTCCTAGACTAAAAGCCCCTGTCAGTTCATTAGAAACATCAACAATGTCAAGTGTTATATTGAGAGACTGTCAATCAGCTTCATCGATTGATACAAGACTCAAAAAGACTTTCCGGGCTTTGCTTGTAACAAAGATATTATAAGCTGTGCTCTCAGCAGGCAATTAAATTGGAGGGCATATATTGATAATTAATTCCCCCACACACCATGCCAACAACATCTCTACCCACAGAACCATTTCCAGTGATGAAGATTCCAAAAATATCAGAACAAACAACTCAAGTAGATGCTGAGATTATTATAAGTCCTTATTCTTCCACTGCAATTTCTATTAAATGCAACCATACAAGATTCAGTTGTCAAAATACAAAAACTTGATCTCAGCCAATGGACTTTAAAATATCTCCTGACTAGAAGATGCTAATCTTAACAAATTAGGATGCAGTATTGTAATGTTACCCTTTCAGGCCTTTAATACTGACTAGTGAGTTTGATCCACACTGGGTCCTCCACACATATGACCCTGTGCCAGACCAAGTTAAATAAAAATAAAAGTGCCTATGTGTGGGCAATAGTTCACAAATCAGTCTTATTTATCATTGTAGTGTCTTAATATGGGGTAATGGTTAACAAGTAATGTTTACTGAGTAGTGAGTTTGATCCAGTCTCATTTATCATTGTGGTGCTTCAATAAACGATAAAACACATCACATGCAAACTTTTTCCACTTTGTCGTACTTCTTTCCCCCATATATATATATATATATATATATCATCCACAGACGGACTGTTTTGCTGTATCACAGCTTTTCAGTGTCGCTAAACGTCCGATTACTTCAAGCTGAGATCAAAATTCATCCAATTTGGCATCAGTCAGAGATCCTACCTCTAAGCCGTCAGTGCACGGCAGAGAGAAAGGGAAATTTTAGTGTTTTCTAGACGAAATATGCTAGTAGCTAAGAGAACTCAATTCATACTTGAAGAGTAATGCATTTATGGCAGCACCAGTCACTGTTTTTATTAAATTTACCCTTTTCTCTAGAGAGCTTTATCGAAGGGTCTCCGAGTGTATATATATAGTCATCCACTATATATATATATTTCAAAGACAACTGACAAGGTACTGTGGTTAAGTTTTTATCTAACTTTTTTACATTCTCATAATTTTCAACTTTTTTGAACATATTGTAAATTATGTAGAAATTGCCCAATATGTTTTGTATGTCCTGATACTTTCAGCTATACTTTTAGCCATTATCAAGGATGAATTTTATTTTTACTTTTAACTGAATATTAACAGATTGTTTTATGTATGTATCTAGAGTTATAGCAATGTTTTATTTTTCAAACACGGTCAGCACATTGTGGCCATGTTCACAGTTGATATTATTGAGTGTTTGTTTTGTTTTTTTTTAATAAAGCTTCCATTATTTTTAGCCTTTTTTTTTTTTTTTTTACATGTGAATGAGGCTATTATATATTATAACCACTTGGACATACAAAACATTTGAACAATTTCTACATAATTTATGTCCAGAAAAGAAGAAAATTATAACTCATGAAAAATTAACTAAAAATCTTACTGTATCATTAGAAATTCAAAATAAATGAAATAACAAAACTGATTCTATTTCATGTTTTTCCTACACACATCCCCTAAAAGGAAAACCATTGTTTTGTTTATGCTTCACCATGTGATCTCTCATGAATACTGATTATTCTTCTTCTTCCTCTTCTTTTCCTAGATCTAAATAATTACAAACAGCCTGGTGCGCTAATGGACATTTACTTATACTTCATAATCAATCGCAAAACACTGCTAATAACTGTAGGATAATATATGATAATAGTACATTCCATTTTCAACATTTTTTATTCAGTCTGTTCCTAACTTCCGTCTAAGCCAGTTGAAATTTTAATTGAAATTTTAGTTTAAGATAAAGGTTGCTGTGAACACAATCTCAATGTTTACATTTTCTCAGTTGAGTTTGCAAGGATACAAGTTGATTTCATTGATATGGAATTATTCTTCAAATAGGCAATTTATTATGAAGTTAATGCCAGTAATATACAAGGTAGAAATGGTTTTATTACTTTTATTATCAGTTTATTTGATAATGTAAATCATTTCATATACGTTATTGGTTAGCCTACTTACAGACATTACTCAGAATTTAAGGTTTCTTTTTTAGAATTGTATTATAAGATAACACCCAATTTTTAAGTGTGATGTTTTGGGATTTAAAATGCGCATATATATATATATATATATATATATATATATATATATATTTATTTTAGGATATTGAAAACAGACACAGGTGTGTCTGAAAATTCTCACTTTAAAATCTTTTTCTTCATGCTTTAATTTAGTCAAAAGGCTAATAATAATAATAATAAATATCAATCTTATTGCTAATATTGTTATTATTTTGTTGATTTTTATTCCTTAAATTTCATTAACTGACACACACACACACACACACACACACACACATAATAAAAATTTTTTTTGAGATTTGAATAATTTCACATTGAGTCTAGAACAAGAATCCTCAAATGAATGCAGAAAGCACTGGACAGCCATTTTGTCCTTTTTTGGGGGACTCATCAGCAGTGTGTACCCACTACCAAGAATTGAACCTGAACTGTTATGATGCAACGCAAGCATCATACCACTGGGCCAGCAGGTCTCAGTGATGAAGAGGAAACTAACTGGATTCAATATAGCACAGCTACTCCTAATTCCAGTGGTGATACTCATCCAAGTATACATAATCCACTGGAATCAACCCCAAGAGCAACTCAATCCAGAGCATTAAATATGGATCAAGTATAGATTTTATAAGTAATAGAAATTATTGAAGATTTGAATAATTTCACATAATGAGTCTAGAACAAGAATCCTCAACAGAATATATATATATATATATATATATATATATACACACACACACAATTTAAAGAAAAACAGACCACTTTAAGGCTCCATTGTAATAGTTTATTTCACCAGAGACCTTTTAAAGGATGCTGGATCATCAGACATCACTTCCAAAAGAGAGTCACCATGCAATACGTTGTAATTTTTTTGGATGGAGGGCTGGCAACACACACACTGCCCCAGATGGTATACACTCTAATTATGACAGTGTTCATATCTGTTCACAAATATTCTGTATATAAATATATATAAAAATCTATGCATGTATTGAATTTGTTTATTTTAAGATTGTTGAAATTTTCAAACCCCCAAAGTTAATCTAAAGGGGCAGCCACATGAATATTTAGCTTGGGTTCACTTCACATCCATTCCCACCCAACTAGTTGATCATCCACTTTTATCAGAATATAAAAAAAAAGAGCTTTTTAAATGCTTTATTTAAAAAAGGATATTTCAAATAACTTTAATTTTTCACTTTTTAAAACTAAATTCTTATATTTTATGCATAAGTATAAAGCCTTTTTGTATAAAAATTTATAATTTTAATTTTTCAAACACCTTATTACTTAATAAATTCTTATAAAACTCCATAAAGAATTAACCAAATATTCCTTGTCCATCATATTCAATGGTCACCGATGAGCTTAAACCTGAAAATCACTGGCATTCAACCTAGAAATAAAATATTTCTACCCTACCCACCCTCACTGTGAAATATCTGTAACTATTTCTCTTCTGTAAGAAGTCAACATAAAATGGTAGGTAAATAAAATTCACGTGTCTGGACTTGTACATAGATTGTAACAAAGGAAATAACACTGACATTAGTGAGATTGTGTTCATTAATATGAGTGGAATGCAAGAAGAATTGATAAATGCCATGAATCAATATCATTTGAACTGGAAAAGAATAAATGGCATTTTCTATTAACATTTAAATTCAATTATACCATTGCTTTAATTAAGTTAAATTTAACACCATTAATCACAGTCATTTTATAACCACTGAAAGAAAATACAACCTCTATCCCATAATACTTATTACACTTAGTTTTCTTTTGATTATTGGCAACACTTATTAATAAATATGACTACATCTGTCTAATAATATTTGGTACATTTGCCCAGTTTTCTTTTGATTATTGGCAACACTTATTAATAAATATGATTACCCCTGTCTAATAATATTTGGTACATTTGTCTAGTTTTCTTTTGATTATTAGCAAAACTTGATAAATATTATTACCCTTGTCTCATAATATTTGGTACATTTGCCCAGTTTTCTTTTGATTATTAGCAACACTTAATAAATATTACTACAGTAGAGCTTGGATTGAAGAATTGGAGAGCCAAGTTTGAATTCAAGTAGAATCCATTACATTCACTTACATGCTAATACCCTTGGGGAAAGGTATGAATCCTCTTCTTCTCCCCCCAGCTATGAGTAAATAGCAGGACAGACTTATAGCCTTGGATGGCAACTGGTCTACCGCAGAAAAAAATGGCAATTTACTGCAGGAAAAATCTGCTTCATCAGTGTGTATCACGCATGACACATAACTGAGTGACCTGTCTCATAATATTTGGTACATTTGTCTAGTTTTCTTTTGATTATTAGCAAAACTTAATAAATATTATTACCCTTGTCTCATAATATTTGGTACATTTGTCTAGTTTTCTTTTGATTATTAGCAACACTTAATAAATATTATTACCCTTGTCTCATAATATTTGGTACATTTGCCTAGTTTTCTTTTGATTATTAGCAATACTTAATAAATATTATTACCCTTGTCTCATAATATTTGGTACATTTGCCTAGTTTTCTTTTGATTATTAGCAACACTTAATAAATATTACTACCCCTGTCTCATATTTGGTAAATTTGTCTAGTTTTCTTTTGATTATTGGCAACACTTATTAATAAATATTACTACTTCTGTCCCATAACGTTTGGTACATATGCCTATTTTTGTAAAGCACTCATGATACTCTTATCTAAAGAAGTTGGCCAGAATCATAAACCATTAGATAATGACTGCCATGTAAAATAAATAAACACTAAACACTTCAAATGTCTTGGTGTAGAGATCAGTTATAAATTTAGTATAGGAGATATTGAAATTGAACATAGAAAAGGCAACTTGGGGTGTTGTGGGAAACTACTTCTAGTGTATACAGGTAGTTTCACATAACACCACATGTTACTACAAAACCAAACACTTTTGACAACAGCAACAACTAAAATGGATAGCACATGTAACTTGAACAGAAAATAATGACATAATCAAGATGTTGACATTCCACACTACTTCAACTAAAAGGTGAAGAAGGAAATTCCCCCCATCCATACTGGAAAGAGCAATAACAGCTACTGGACTTGAGAAACCTATTTTCTTGAAAAATTGTTTTAAGAGAAAGATTTTATAAATTTAAAATGAAAAAATAATGATATAATCAATATGTTGACATTCCACATCACTTCTAATAAAAGGTTAGCAAGGAAACTCCATCAATACTGGAAAGAGTTATAACAGATACTGGACTTGAGAAACCTATTTTCCTGAAAAAGTGTTTTAATAGAAAGATTTTAGTAATTTCAACAGAAATTAACTCTTTATGCTCAATCAATGAATGCCAAATGTTTTTCTTAAATAAATGGCTAATATTTCAATTACGGTTACTGTTAGTATGAGGTAACAAGACAACACACGACAAACACTTTTTAACTCATTCCAGATTGAATTTATTTCTAAATTTTACGAGTTTTAAAGTAATTTGAAAGCTACTTATACAAGTTAACCTTTATGTATTGTATATTTTCTAGGAGTTTTTTTTAAAATCATTTCACCCCAAGCAAGGTAATAAAGTCACTAAGACAAGGGGTTACAGAATGTGAGATAATATGAGAAAAAAAACATCATTAAGATGAGAGAACAATATAAGAAGAGGAATTAAGAAGATAGAAGATAACAATTGACATTGCATTGAAATTTTTGAAAATCAAAGTTGTCTGGAAAGCAAGAAGTTGAAAGAGAGTTCCACAAGTGAGTACAAAAGAAGGAACTATTAGCATAGAAATTACAGATCCATCTAGCCATTTCATCTGTCAAAGCATTCAATATCAAAAATGTAAAGAAAGGCTATCTCATCAGACCTTGGCGTCAATCTAGTACTGTGCTAAAATTCTAGGTACCAAAGTGGAAAGCGCCTCAAAATGGTTACCATGAATTATGTTCAGTCTTTATGGAAGCAGAATTTTTACCATTATTATCTAGTTCTGATCATTTCAAAACAAGATGCAATAAAGTTACCAAAAAATGAAAAATATTGTAAATATATTCACTTGACTTACTGCTAAAGTTGCCAAAATTCAGGTCATGCGTCTTTTTTTTTTTTTAAATCATTTTATAAGGTGATAATGCTGCTAAGATGCAAGGGATTTCTGGGAGTGAAAGAGAATGAGATTACTTTAATGAGGAGAATGGACAATAAAGGAACAGGATTCAAGAAGACAGGAGATGGCAGTTGGCATTACATTTAAATCTTTGAAGATTGTAGGTGTGGGGAGGGAACAAGAAACTGGAAGAGAGTTCCATAGGTGAGAAAAGAAACTATTAGAATAGAACATTATCTTTTAAAGAACTTGTTTAAAGAACGCATATTCTGATTTCTTTGGATATTTTCTGGAGTCATCTATAACCATACATTTTCTGTATTCACAGACCAACAGAAAACTTTAGTATTCCAAACTTACTTCATTGACATACCTTGAGGTCGACACCCTTATTCTTAATGTATCTGCTAAAATAGGCTATATTTTTCAGTATGATTCTGAATTCCTCTGCTTATTGCCAAAGTCTTGAAGTTCTCAATGGCATGATTCCAAATTTCAGCTAAGTATATTGCAAATAAAAAGTAGCTATATTATAATATTAAAGGCAAATCCAGATACTGATAAGCATAAAAAACTAAGATAAACTACAGTACTTATAGTAAGCAGTACTACTAAACATTTTCAAGTATTTGACTCAACAGCTGAGAGCTTTCAGGATGAAGCACTTCTTTTTAGGCTTAAGTTCAGAACCATATATTAAACAAATTGTTATGAAGTAGAGTAGTCTCGGGTATAGACGTCAGGTCAACAGATGGTAGCTTGACTGGCATTTGCTGTGGTGTACTGCTTTTATAGCAATAACTCATTTGCATTACATCTCACTGAACTGAAATGGCCGTATGCCATTCTTGGGAATCTAAACTGTTTTTCTTGGTGTGTATCTTGATTTCTTCTTATAGGGGACCTAAGTCTGAATTCATTTTCCTCTTCCGACTTCTCATCAGATTTCTGGTCATTAACGTCCATAGACTCTTCAGTTTCATTACTGGATTCATTAGTCCCCTCCTCCCCTTCATGTTCTTCACCTTCAGACTCTTTGTCCATTTCTATATCTTCAGGTTCCAACCTGCTTTTGAATTGATCCACATGGACCAATACATTTTGCTCAATTTTTCATTAGTATTACTCTGTTGTGTCTTTTCTGTACTACAAAGTTCACCTTCTTTAGATTAGATTCATTGTCTTTTTTTATAGCATACACTTTCACTTGTTGAAAATGACATTGTTATGGAAGCTCTAATCTGTCTACCCATCAGTGTAGAGGGACTTTGTAGTATGCCGATATGTGGAATTGTCCTATAGCTTAACAGTAATGTTGGTAACTCTCTATATTATCACTAGATAGGGAAAATGCTTTTAGTCCCATTTGCACCATTCTTCCTGTGATTCTATTTAATTGTGGGTGGTAAGGTGGTGTTTTATACAGAGTGTATCCAATACACTTTAGCCATGAACACAAACTTTCCTTGCAAAATTCTGGCATGTTATCTACGACCAAAGTTTTAGGCACCTCATTCTTCGAAAATATTGTTCTTAATTATTATTTTACAGTGGTGGCTTTTCTATCAGCAACCTTAATTACTTTGGGCCATCCTGAAAATGAGTCTACTAAAATTAAAAATAACCCCATGCCTTTAACATGGGTATGATCCATGTGTACCCGAGCACATGGTTCTTTTTTTTTTTAGGACACGAGTGAACTTTGTTTTGCCGAAAGTTTTTAATTTCCGCACTTTTTGGGCACCTTTTTACATAGTCTTCTACATCTTGAGAATATCCTGGCCATCACACTTGTGATTTTAATCTCATTTGTGTTGCTGTTATACCACAATACATCATCATGTCCACTATTTAGTACTTCTTTTCTTTGTGGGGTATTATGAAGTCTCCATTGCATATTATGCTTTTCTCTACAGTTAACTTATGGCTTGATTCTTCATAGGGTCTGTCATTGAACAATTGCTCCATGTATTACTTTTTATTCTGTCTGAAATTCTATTTAACACTGGATCTTGTATGGTTTCCATTCCGAGACAATTTAGGGGTAACACATTTTCAGATGTTTCTAATTTTTTACTGTCAAAATTTAGTCTGGATAGTGCATCCGCTTGTGGAATAGAGTTCCCCTTTACATATATAATGTCTAAATCAAAGGTCATGAGTTTTATAGCCCATCTTAAAATTCTAGAAGATGTGACTTTTGTTAATTACTTTCTGAGGTTAAATATAAACTCTAAAGGTTTGTGATCCAACTTTAAGGAAAATTTTCATCCTAACAAGAAATTTCAAACTCTTTCTGTCAGCCATATTATTACTAATGCTTCTTTCTCAATATTTAAGTAGTTAGCTTCATGACATTCTTGAAATAAAATTGCAGATACAACATGTTCACTTGCATTTGTAGTCAATGTCACTTCTTTTGGATTAA